GGCGGGGCAGGGGCGCCGGCCTTGGCCGGCGACGCGTCGCGTGCGCCTGGCGCCCCCGCCTGCTGCGGCTGCTGCGACGTCCCTGGGGGCATGCCTGCCATCCCCGCCGGCGGCACCAGCGACGGCGGCGGCCCGCCCGGCGCAACAAGCGGCGCGCCCGTGCTGGTGGCGAGCTTGCCGGCATCCGGCAGCGCGCTGAAGTCGGGGTTGTGCATGGCCTGGCGCGGCAGGTCGCGCAGCGCGCGCGAGGGCAGCACGTCCTCGAGGCGCACGTCAAAGGTCTTGAAGGTCATCTCGATGACGAAGGAGATGTTGAGCTTGAGACGCTCCATCCCGTGAACCTCGGCTAGCAGCGCCAGGATGCCGTGCACCATGGGGTTGGTGGCCTTGAAGACCTTGCTGCCCTTGCAGCCCTCCAGCACCTTCTGCACAAACGGCAGCACGGCGATCATGCGGCCGCGCTGGTATGCGTCGCGGATCATGGCCTTGAGGTCCATGTCCACCACCAGCACCGGCTTGTTGCGCGCAAACGTCTGCAGGCCCAGCCAGGTGCCCAGCTGCTTGATCAGGGTCCGCTCGTTGGTCTGTGTGATGGCGCGGTCGCTCTCAAGCAGCGCGCTGGCGTAGTAGTAGGTGGTGCGCAGGACGGACTTGACCAGCGCCTTGTCGCCCATGGTCTCAAGCAGCTCCATGTAGAGCAGGTGGTGGTTGGGCTCCTGGAGGGGGGGATGGGGGGGAGTCAGGGGGTTGCATGCGTCAGCAGGTTGAGGGAGTTGGGAAGGGCTGCGGGAGACGGGGTGCTGGGAGAGTGCTTGTGGGGTGCCTGCCATTAGGAGGTGAAGAGGCACCGCAGGGGCAGGGGAGCAGGCAGCAGCCGTGGGCAGAGGCGCCTTGCATCCGGCTGTCGAAAGCCTGCCATGTGCACCTCAAGACCCAGCAGCTCCACGATGGGACAACAGCCAGGCACGACAGGGCTCTGCAGTCCACAAATCCCCATCCCAGTTCACATCCAGCAAGCCCCAGCTTCGGACGCAGACCAGACAGGACACGTCAAACCCAGGTCGAAGCCCTCAACCCAGGCTGTGCACAGCCAACGGACGCACTGAACCCCTGAGACACACTCACACACTCTCAAGCACACACCTGAGCGGCGCGCTTGACCGTGAGGTAGTTGGCGAACCACTCGACGTACCCAGGCACGATGACGAGGGCGGCGAGGTCCTTGGACTTGGCGGCGAGGTTGTTCTTGGAGAGGTTGTTCATGATGAAAGACACCTTGTCCATCGCGGTGTCGGGGGGCGCCTTGAAATCGCGCAGGTTGCGCTCCGCGCTCTCCAGCGTCTCATTGTTGATGGTCGTGCTGAGGCTGACCACCGGCGGCTTCTCATTCAGCGTCGACAGGGCCGCCGCCTGCGCTACGTTGCTCTGAAGAAGTTTGTTCAGCGCCTCCCCCGTGCCGCTGCCGCCCACAGAGTCGGTAATGGTCATAGTGCCCGGGCCGCCGCCGCCGCCGCCGCCGTCGCCACCATCGCCGCCCTTCCTGCCACCAGCCGCCTTGTTTCCGCTGCTGCCCTGGCCCGTGCCTGGGCCAGAGCTGCTCGCCTGCCGCTGCTGCTGCGGCGGCGGTGGAAGCGGGTGCTGCTGGTGGTGTTGCTGTTGCTGCTGCTGCTGCTGCTGCTGCTGCTGCTGCTGCTGCTGCTGCTGCTGCGGCTGTTGCTGCTGCTCCACGCCGCCATCGCCTCCGCCTGCACCGCCGGCGCCGCCGTTGGCAGAGCTCATGTCAGCCATGCCGCTGCCGCCCCGCTGCTTGCCGTCACCCTCCCCACCACTACCGCCGCTACCACCAGTCGCCGCTGCCGCTGCCCGCTGCTGCTGCAGCGCGCGCTCCAGGGCGTCGGCCACCGCCGAGTCAACGGAGCGGATGCGCGCCGCGTGGGGAGCTGCGCCCGCACAGAACGCGGGCCACCGCGTCAGGTCGCCACGGAACTGCACTAGCGCGCCAAGGCCAAAGCGGAAGAGCTTGGAGTCGGTGGGCTCGCTGACCGCCGTCAGCAGGCACTGAAGCGCGACGCCGAGCGCCATGCCCGAGAAGAGGTTGGCAGCAACGAGGCGGCCAAAGAGGGCTGCTGTGACGGAGAGCTCCTTGTCAGGGTAGTTGGGGAAGAACCTGAACTCGTCCAGCAGGTTGTGGACCATGCAACGGAACACCTCGACCTGGCGTGCGTTGCCGCTGACCTTGAAGCGCCGCATCTGCTCCACGACCTCCTCCACAGGACGATTCTCACTGTAGATCTGTGCGGGGGCACAGGGCAGTCAAACAGGGTCTTGATAGCGGAAGAATCACGCGTGCAGGAAGCGGGGAAGCAAGCCTTGCAAAGCCCCAGCCACCAGCTGACCCAAAAGCCCACTACGCGGTGTGCCAAGCTGGCATGCAAATTTCACCCGCTTACAAATCTTTTTACAGTCAATGCAACTCCTCGCACGTACTTCATGCAAGTAGCTGCAGTCAAGCAAGAGCGTCACAGCGTTGACAAGCAGAGGCCTTGGGGCCATGCATCCCCGCAGGCCTCTCCTCCTGAATCCCTTGCCAACTCACCGAATGAAAGTGCATGTTGGCCTCCTCTTCCACATCAGAAGAAAACGGCCCGCCGCTGCTGCCAGCCGCTGGCACCGCTGCAGCCGCGGCCAGTAGCGCCTCAGCCCCAGGGTAGGCCACCACTGCATGAGCCTGTGCACGCGACACCTCTGACGCAAGATCTGCACCACCGCCGCATGCGACGTGAGCATGCAGGCCTCGCAGCAGGCACGCCGCCGTCTCACACGCCAGTTGAGGCGGAGGGGCTCGACCCTGGTCGAGAGGCAGCTGCGGCGGCGGCGTGGGAGCCGCGGCCATGCGCGCCTCGAGGTAGCGGGCAACTGGCCGCACCAAGCCTCCGCCCTGCCGCGCAAGCCGCTCCGCCAGCCAGCCGTCCAGCGTCGCCCCCAGCAGCTCACGCCGCGCAGCAGCGTCTGCCAAATCGAGAGACAGCTCGAGGGGAGCCACCTCAAGCGCTGCATGCAGAACGCCCAGCTGCGCCAACAGGTCAACCAGCCGCGCAACGCGCCCGATGTCGCCACCAGCCCACAAGCCCATGCCCTTGAGGAGCGCAGCCGGGTTGCTGTCCCACAGCCGCCGAAGGACAAGCCCGCTGTTCGCATGGCCTGTGAGGAACGGCGGAAGCAGGCTGCTCCATAGCAAGCGCTCGAGCGCGCCCCAGTCTGTGTCGCCCGCTGCCCGGAGCGCGCCCAGGCTGCAGAGCAACACCTCGCGGCAGGCCTTGCCTGGGCCAGCCTCGAGGAGGCTGCGGACTGGGCCCGCCTGCCCCGCGTCTGCCAGCTGACAGAGCACAGCCAGCAGGTCCACGCTCAGCCAGCAACCGTTGGCCGTGCCCGCCGCCGACGCGCCGCTGACCAGTCCCTCCAGAGGCGCGACACGCCGCGGGCTCGCATCCCACGGCACGGCATCTGGCGGCGCCACTGTGGCCGCCGCCAGAAGTGACAGCTGACCAGCTGCGTTTGACCACAGGCGCCCGACGAGAGCTGAGATGGGAAGGCTCTCGCCCGTCGCGCGACGGAAGGCTGTGGTGAGAATGCCCAGCCCAGCAGGCTCGGGCACTAAGAAGCCATCGTGGTCCAGGCCCTCTGCGACGCGCCGCCACGCAAGGCCGGGAGATCGCGCCTTGGTGACATCCACGACCACCGCCACATTCCATGTGGCACTGCCGGCCTCGCCCAGGGGCGCCGCTGGCGGGCCATCTGACAGCACTGCAGCGAGCGTCGCTGACAGGCCGAGGCCATCGGGCTCAAGGCCGCGCACGGTGCGCGCCATCAGGCCGAGCGCCTCGGCCACAGTGGCCTCGTCGATGCGCCCAGGAAACTGCTTAAGCAGCCCCTTGAACGCGGCTTCGCTCGCCGTGCAGGGATAGCCAAGCTCCTGCATTGCGCGCGCCAGCCAGTGCGCACTGCCGCCACCCGGGTCGGACGCCATGGCTGCAAGCTGCTGCACAGGGAGCACGTCGACCGCCGCTGCGACGCTTTTGCTTAGCAGCGCGTGCAGCCGCTGCTCAAGCTGCTGCCTGCTGCCGCCACCGCCGCCGCCTGCACAGTCTTCTGCCGCTTCTGCCTCACCACTGCCACTGCTGCTTGCTTCGGAAAAAACTTGCAGGGCCGCTTGCGCATTCTGATGGCTGGCAAATGCAAAGGCCTGCCTGGCGGGAGCGAGCAGCAGCTGCAGAACTTCTGCAGGCAGCTTCGCCCCCGAGCCAAGGGCCGCGGAAAGGACCTCCTTGAGGCGCTGGTGGCCTGAGCAGTTGTTGGTTTCAAAGGAGTGCAGTCGGGGTAAGGTTTCGCGCTCAGGGACAGCAGACCAGCGGGAGAGCAAGGCAGCAGGACAGGGGGCGGCACAGAGGAATAAAAGCACAATCGCTGACGCATCCTGCACCGCACACAGAGGTGGCGCATGGGCTGGCTGTTGCATGCACAAGGGCACTGGGTTGGACCAGTGTGCAGGTTGAATAAGCACCACTGATCTCATCACAACATATGGGCAGAACATGCTCAACGCGTCGCATGCAGGCTGTGCTGATCTGGTCGACGCACAGCGAGCACACTCGCCCTTCCTGGCAGCCCATGGCGGCATGCACCAACCTGCGGCCCTCCAGACGTCGTCAGGCGCGTCCGAGAGAGCCCAGGCTACGAGGAGCTCGTGCTGCAGATCGGCTCCAAGCTCGAGGTGGGCGAACGCGCTTGGTTCGACTTTGCTGTCGCCGTGGAGCAGCGCTTGGCACACCGCAGTAGCAAAGTTGCTCCCCCTGATCACTGGGGAGGCCGGGCCTCGGCACAGGAGGGCCTGCACCTCCGGCCAGGCAGGCTGCCAGCACGACGAGGAGGGAGGAACCTGATGGATGCGAGGTGAAGAAAGGTGTAAGGGAGGACACGTCGTGAGGGCGGCCCTGTACACACACCACAGAGCTCGGCCTCGCTGCAGGCAGGCACCAGCAAACCAACTTGCCTGCTGCTGCGCGCCTGCTGATGCTTGGGCGTTCCTTATCACAGCTTGAAGGAGGTGCATGTTCCTTTCATCATAATGAAAAACAGTGGGATGTGGGGCAGCCCATCGAAAAAATTTCGGATCAGACCTCGAAAAATTCTCTAGCTTCTAGCTCGTTGCCCCCGCACTAGCCGTCAGGTTTTATAAGCTGCTAGGAATCATATCTGATGGTGGTGAACTGTAGACATCCAACTTGGCACGCGCGAGATCACACCCTTCACTGTCACACCGGCACACATGGGCTGGGTGGACGTGCCACCGCCACCCACGCGGGGTGGCACTCTGCTTGCCCAAGGTGACCTGGACGCCCACGAGCTGTCATCTGCAGTGGCGACGCTGAGGGGCGTACTGCGGCTCGCGCAGGACAGCACGACGCGCGGCGACGGCCTCACTGCGCGCCTTGCCGCCCTCGGCCTCGGCCCCGATGCCGTGCGGCATCAGCAGCCAGATCAACAGCCACGCAGCAATGTGCTTGGTGCAGTGCCAACGCCGGGGGTGGCTGCGCCACGGGCCGTTGTCTCGGCACCATCAGCAGCTCCCATGGCAGCAGCAGCGGCAGGAGCGGCGGCAGCAGCAGCGGCAGCAGGGGCGGCAGCAGCAGCGCCTGCACCAGTGGCCAGCGCCTCCTCGGCGCCAGATCCCATGCCGGCCCCCAAAGCCATGCTCGTGTCTTCACCGGCGCGTGCGCCAGTGCCAACCCCCGTGCCGCAGTCGGTAACATCGATGGCACCTACCACGGCTGCAGCAGCGCACACGCAGCAGGCGCCGTACCAGCCCTCAACGCAGCCCTGGGCTACAGCGGCGCCTCTCCAGCAGCAGCAGCAGCAGCAGCAGCAGCAGCAGCAGCAACAGCAGCAGGCGCGGCAGCCCGCGGCTCCGGCTGCCCCGGCATGGGTGCATTGCTCCACCAGCGATCCGGGCGACCACGGCGGCAACCCCGTCTCTGCGCTGGCATGGACCCCGCAGCTGCCCGGCCTGCCTGGCGGTGATGGCCACATGGGGTGGCTCATCAGCGCCAGCCGCAACTTGGTCAACCTGTTCGAGTGCAATGCGGGCGGCGGTTTCAAGGGGGAGCCTTCTCTCATGGTACGCAGGCCTGGCAAGATGGGTCGAGAGACCGCCACGCGACTGAATGCCACATTGGGGCAGTGTGGTGGTCTTTGATTGGCAACAAATGCCCCTGCCATTCAAGGATTGGAGGGTGCTGCACCCCACTGGTGCTTTTGTGCTGATAGGTTAGCAATGGGACAGCAGCTGGTGTGGGTTGGAGAGCGCTCACATGAAACAATTTTCACAGGGACGTTATCTAGATGCAACATGTCCTGGAACCCCACTGGAACCTCTTACATATAGGACTGGGTGAACTTGCTGCCCGTATGCAGTATCTGACGGCCGATCACCCAATCACGCCTCCCTCGGATTGCAGCTCATGCACGCCCAGGAGGTGGACTTTGTGTGCTCGCGCCTGGCTGTGGAGCCCTCCCTGGAGCTCATGTTTGCGGTCAGCCTCACCACCGACAAGGCAGCCCAGGAGTGCATCAGCGTGCACACCCTGGACGTGGAGCGCCTGCTCGCGTACCGCTACCGCTTTGCACCGCCGGGGCAGCGGGCGAGCGGCGGTGGCGGGGCGGCGCGGCTGATCAACCATGTTGTTAGCCTGCACCCCGTTGGCGGCACGCTGGCACGCTGCTGCGCCGCCTCTTACGGCGGTCGCCTGGTCGTGTTTGAGGCGCCAGCCACCGCGCCGCAGCCGGGCGCAACCATTACGGCGGCGCGCAGCAGCTGGGACGCGCACCCAGGCGCGGCCATCACGGCCCTGCACTTGTCGGCCATCGCGCCAACACTGTACAGCGGCGCGAACAACGGTGCCATCCACACCTGGGACCTGCGCGCAAAGCCCAGCGCGCCCGCGGCGGTGCTGGCGGGGCACCAGCGCAACGTGACAGGCATCAGCCTCGTGCACGACTCCCTCCTGGCGTCCTGCGGCATTGACGGGCAGGTACGTCCTGAGCCACTTTGATTACGGCAGGGCACCTGTGGGTCAGGGGCTTTGGAGCCTGGGATGATTGGGGCTTAGCACTCAGTAAGGAGGATCTCAGGCAGGGGCAAGGTGATGCAGTATCAGGGGCAAGGCCTGGCAAGCATGCAAGTTGGAGATCCAGGTCTTAGGGGAGGGTGCATCCCCCAAGATGCGCGCGATACTAGTGAGCACCCGCACGATGGCTCCGCTTGTAAACCTCACCACCCTACCGACATGAATCCCCAATCCCAGGTACTGCTGTGGGACCCCCGCTATGCTGGGTCACCCTTCTCCTCGGTGGTTCCCGACGGCGCCCCTGCGCTGCGTCTGGCCCCAAGCCCCTTTGGTGACTGCCTGGCCGTGTCCACCAACCGCGGGCTGCACTGTGTTGACCTTGTCGATGGAGAGCACGGCGTCACACCCATCGCGCCCTTCCCCCTGCAGCGGCCGTACGGGGACATATCTTGGAATGCGGGCACAGGCGAGCTGTACGCCGCGGGCCACGGCGGCTCCATTGCCGTGTATGGGCGCCACTAGCAGGTGGCACGAAGCGAGCATAAATGCCTGTGGGGGTCCAAGGAAATGTTTATTTTGCTGCAGGTAGCCCATTTCTAAGTATAGCTGTACATATGTCTGATTTGGAGCAACTTGATGCCGCTGGTCGCATTCTGCCCCAGAGCGGCTCCGACCACCATGAGGGGCAGGAGGAGGGCTGCAGCCACGAGCACAGCGCCCGCAATTCCTGTTCGCCGTCGAGGGATGCTGCTATACATGCCTGCATGGGTATTTTTGTGTATGCTTGTGCCTGTAACATGTAGCACCGTGCTCGTAGCGCTGCTGTGATGCAGAAGGGTGGTCAAGTTGTCCTGGTCAATGCTGCTGGGCTAATTCTGAGTCACAGTTGAATACATCATCAGAGCGATGTCAAAATCTGGCTCCGTATTGGCAATCAGACTTGTGGATACTCTTTGTACACACCTTCCTGAGCTGAACAAGCGCAGCGGCTCGAGCAAACTAGCCCTTGGGCTAGTTTGTCACCCCGCCAGCGGTCTTCAGTCAGCTGAGGCCACTTTCAACTGTGTCATCAGACGTGCCGCCCGCAGAGTAATGCGTTTTGTAATCCGTTCAAGCACTGGCGTGACATCTACTGTATGCACGCCCTTGATGGCAAAAGCGACTGCACGAGACTCTAAAGCGATCTGACCGCGTGCACCACGATGCTTTTAAGGACGCTGGAAGCGCCATCGGCCGTGCTATCTGCATGCGTGTTGCCAGCAGACGCAGCGCGCGGACTGGTTGCAGACGGCGCTCCGCACTCCGCCGCCCTGCTGCACCGCCTGGATCGTGTCACTGCGTGCGTGCCATGCGTCGATGGCGTAGAGCTGCGGAGCAATTGGCTGCTGCCAGAGCCGACAGTGGCAGTCGCGCCGCTGTCCCAGGGCCTTGCCCTTGTTATCGGGCAGAGCGGTCGCTATTTCGTTGTCAACCTGCCTCGGCCGCTGCAGCAGCAGGAGTCGCAGCAGCAGGCCCCCCAATGCGAGAGCCGTGCTCTCGTCATCGCGGAGGCAGCGCCGCCACGGCTGCCAGGCAGCTGTACCCGTGAGGGTGGCGCCCTGAACGGCCCGGCGGCCCTTCTGGGCTGCAAATGCAGTCCGCCCGTGACGGTGCGGGGCAGTGGCGGCGTCGGCGACCGCACGTTTGTGCTGGCCAGCCGTGCGCACGGCGTCCTGCAGCTGGCAACGTGGTGGCACACGGCATCAGGCGGCAACTCCAGCAGTGCCAGCGGCAGCACAGCCGGCCATGACGGCTGCAGCGGGGGCGGGCAGCTGGACGTGGCGGCGTTCCGTGCGACCCCGGCACTGCTGACGGGCGGCCTCCCTGGTAGGCCGGCCGCACTTGATGGTGGCCTCAAGCCTGTGGTGTGTCAGCAGACGTGCTGCGCCTGCCACCTGCTCCCGCCACATGCCTGAAATCCCTGGTCGCAGGCTGCCACAGGCCAATCGATCTCCCCCTGCGCGATGCATCCCGCTGCGCAGACCTCCATCCGGAGTCGTCAGCCGCCGGTGATCTGGCAGCGATCCGCGCCTCAGGCAGCGTGCGCGCTGTGCTGCTGCTACCAGAGGCTGAGCAGGCCCTACTGCCGCTGGGTGGCGGCGCCCTAGCCGCCGTGCTGCACGACACAACGGGTGATTGGTTTGGAAGGGTGACAAGCAGAGAGCAGGGGTCGTCAATTGCAGGGCGGTGATGCTGGGGTGTGACCTGGACAGTTACTTCAGCAGTGCGGCCCTCATCGCCACTCTTTTTCCGACTGCACATCCACGTGTGCAACTCACACCCTGCTCAACGTTCCAGGCCCGTCCCACACAACCGTGGGCCTGCACTGTGTGGAGCTTCACAGCCCCACGGCCTCTGTGCTGCAGGGACCCTGGTCCCTGCGCAACCTGCATCCCACTACACAGCTGCTGCGCTGGCTCCCGCCCCGAGCCGGCAGCTGTGGTGCTGCAGGTGGCGTGGCTGCAATCAGCAGCCGCGGTATGATACTCGTGTCGCGCGACGCAGCTGCGGTGGGGACGTCGCGCGGCGCAGGTGCGGCCTTCGAGTATGAGAAGCTGACCCTGGTCAGCTGGGAGCTGCCTGCACCACCCGCAGCTGCGGAGGCGGTCGACGGCAACAGCCGGATCCTGGTCGTGGCAGATGGCGCAGCGGGTGAGCCGGGAGGGGGCGTTTGACCGTGTCGCTTTTGCACGTATGCGTCGACTGAAGCGTCAGGATTCAGCCCTGGCTTTTGCGTGCAACCTCGTGCTGTGCAGCTCCAACGCAGTTTTTGGAAGCCTCATCCCCCAACTCCTCCATCTCACCCACAACCTTGCCTGCACCCTGCAAACCCCCCAGGACTCCATCTGCTGGACCTGTCGCAGTCGAGCCCTACCCATACGCGCATCATCACCACCATCCCCCTCAGCGTGCCAAGTGCTCTCTGCTTCCTGCCCCTGCAGCACGGTTCTGCAGCCACCGAGCTCGGCCACGGAGGCGCAGCTGCATCGGACCAGCGGCCGCGTGTCCCGAGTGGCCCCCTCGGTTCTGCCGAGGGCGTGCTGCTGATCGCCAGCGCCTGCGGGGCCACGCAGGCCGTTGGGGTGCTGGCGGTGGACATCGCTCCGGCAAGTGCAGCCCCGCAGTCAGAAGGCGCTGTTGGCAATTCCGTGGCGCGGTGGCCAGTGCTGCGGGCCGCACTGCTGCCCAGCCTCGCCCCTGTCATGTGTGTGGCGCCGGTCGCCAACGGTGGCGCGGGAGCCACACCCGAGGCGCAGGTGGTGGTCGGCTGTGGGCGAGCGCCGCGCGGTCGTGTGGCGCGGCTCCGCAGTGGAGTAGGGCTGCGGCCCTTTGTGCTGGATGGTCCAGAGCTGCCGGTGCGCAGACGGGGCTCAGGGTCACCAGGGGGCACAGCTCCTCGGTCAAACCACTCGAGCGCAGCTCCTCGCATAGCGGCGTCAGCTTGACGTCGGCGCGGCATGCCTAGGGACCGCTCTCGCATCCGCCTGGTTGCATTGGTTTTCGTAGCTGCGCCCCGCACGGCACCTGAGCGCCATCCCTGGCCCAATCCCCTCACTCCGCCTTGCCCGTCCACTGTGCAGGGCAGCGTGTCGCTCTTTCAGGTCTCTGGCGACCCATCGGCCCCAGAGGACCAGTCGCTGCTGCTCGTTTCCTTCGAGGGCGCTGCGCGCGGCACCATTGCTTTGGCCATGGCGGGCGATGGTGCGGCGTTGTCTCAGCTGGAGGCCCCGGGCGTCGACGCCGCCTCGCCCTGCATCTGGGCCGGCGGCGTGCCTGGCGGTTGGGGGGCGCAGGCCACAGCAGAGGGCATCCGCATCGCGGGGCCAGCCCCGGCATGGTCGCTGGCGTTCGAGTGGCGCAGCACGCAGGGTGAGTACACATCACAGGCGTGCATACACATGGCAAATGTGGTTGCTTGCAAGATGCAACCTCGATCTGGCAAGTCTCAACTTGACAGATGCTGTGTAAACATCACAGCACCCCTGGCCATCCTGCCTGGCACGAGGATTCTTTACGAGATCGGCCCGGCCCCAAGCCATCAAAACAATGTTTTGTCTTGCTTCAACCTCGCGCCAACCTCGTGCCCTGGCCAGGCCCCCTCAGCCTAGCGGCCGCGCACGGCAGCTACCTCGTGACGGCATCCGCGGACCGCCTGGCAGCGCTGCATGTGTCGCCCGTGAACGGTGCCCTGGCACTGCTGGCACAGGCGGAGCTGCCGCAGCAGGCGTCTGCCCTTGCCGTGTTCCCTGCACCCGCCAGTGGCAGCGCGGGCGAGCTTTTGGTTGCAGTGGGGCTGTGGGTGGAGAACGCTGTGCTCCTGCTGCGGTGGCATGCTGCAGGACCAGGCGGCGGGGGGCTGCAGCCGGTGGGGCGGCTAGAGCTGTGGGAGCAGCAGCCGCGCAGCCTCGCGGCGCTGGACGTCGCGGGTCGCTGCGTTCTGCTGGCAGGCAGCAGCCAGGGCCAGGTGAGGCAGAGAGGACCCGGGGGCATAGCGCTGCCCTCCAGCACACCTTGGCTGCTGAGCAGCAGTGATGCTTGTCAGTTGTGCCGGGCGCCACGTGCGCTGGCGCTCTTCGTTGGCAGCCTTACAGCTGCTGACTCTGAGATACCGGTGTCCAGCGGCAGACCTCCAATCGCATCCCGCACTGCTCAGCGGCACCCTCCCCTTGCCTATTGCCAGGTGTTGTCATGGGAGCTCGCACCCGGCGCCACTGTGTCTGCAACGATCTCCACGCGCGCCGCGCGCCGCGTCCGCATTGGTTCTACCAGCGTCGCCCTCGCAGCGGGAGACAGCCTGCGCGGCGGCGCTGATGGCAGCAGGCCAAACTCAGCCGCGCCGAGCGCCGGGCCGTACGTCTACGCGCACTGCGATGCAGACGCCATCTTCCGCGTCGCGCCGCACGCGAACTTGCTGCTTGCCGGCACCACGGCCGAGTCCGCACCGCCGCCTGCAACGGACCTGGTGCAGGCGGCGCGCGTCGTCGGCGCAGAGGCGCTGCGGGCGGCATGCCCCCTCAACGTGCGCCGCATGCCTGGCAGCCTGGCCTGGGTGTCGCATGCGGGCCGCCTGTGCCTGGGTGCCCTTGACTTGGAGCACAAGCTGCGCTGGACTGCAGCGTCTGTCAGCGACACACCCCTGGCGGTCGCGTGGCACGCGGCCAGCGGCTGCATTGCAGCACTGACGCAAGGCGAGGGCCGCGCAGGACTCGGGGCGCCTGGGCGGCAGGTGTTGCGGCTGCTTGAGGGGCGGTCGATGCGGCAGGTGGCGGCGCTGCAGCTGGCGGAGGGCCACGCGGCAACAGCCATGGAGCTCCTGGAGTTGCCCTGCAGCAGTGCGGCGCGCAACAGGCGCAGCCACGGCCGTGACGGTGACAGCGGCATCGGCGCATCAGCCTCAAACCAAGCCGCTGACCTGTTGCCTGGCTTGACCTCCAGCGCCGGCTGCTCAGGAAGCAACAACAGTGGCAAAAGCAGCGGCATGATTGGCACGCGGCCGTTTTTGGTGGTTGCGTCCTGCGTGGCAGACCCCCAGCAGCAGCAGCAGCAGCAGCAGCAGCAGCAGCAGCAAGAGCCGGGCAGCCAGGCGCCACTCCGTGTGCCAGGGCCCCCATCCTGCAACCCCGTCAAAAGCGACGCCGCAGGGCTGCTGTCGTTTTTCAATATCAGGGCGCTGCCGGTAGCAGGCGCCGGTGCAGCGGCGAGCAGCAGCAACTGGGCTGGCGGGGCA